GATGACATGGGCATCATTAGAGGAAAACCAAGGAAACTCTGTACGTGCAGAGGAAATTCGTGAGCTCTATTTCCAGCAGGTTAGTAATTAGCATAGTCACTGCATTTTACATGTGAGAAAGCTATCTGTTTGGGATATTTGTCTTGGAAGGCTTCAAGCCCTCAACTTTTTACACTCATTTGTTTCTCGCAACAGCGCATTGAAATTGTGGATGATGCTTCATGGATTATGGGATTCTTAGACATTATAGACCCCGCGCTTGACCGTATAAAGAGTCTCTTGAAGTTGGACCAGAATTCACAACAAATACAACAGGATTCTCTGAGAACAATAACAGGAGCAAATGAAAATAATACCGATGAAGAGTCGGCTGGCCTTTCCTCTAAAGAAAATGACATGGAAAGTGAGACTGGTTTTGATGTGGATGCTTTTGTTACAGAAAAATTATCTCTAGACCCATCCAAGCTAGAAGTTCAGATGGAAACCTCACGGCCTTTTGTACTAAACAGAACAAGAGCGAAAGTATTATAGTGATTTGCCAAATGGAGAAGAACCTGTTACATAGTACAGAAAACATTAGAGCATTTTAATCGTATACATGACAGGGCCTCTTGTGGGTTTTGTGGTTTGTATCATGAAATTTGAGGCTGAGGGCTCGCCTTGTATATTTCATACCTCGAAGTAAGGTAACTTGATATGCAAGTAAAACTTGTAATTTACTGGACAACACAGAAAAACCATTTGCATTGGGCTTCAGCCTTCAATGATTAAAGAAAATATTTTGGAATGTAAACTCTTTTCCTGTTTTTAGTTAATCTCGTTTGCGTTTCATTTGTTAGTAGCTCACGTACGGACATGATTTCGATTATGGTTTTAACTTCTAACAAACAATTTGACAACATAAATATCTAGTGTCAGATCTTATAAAACGCTACTCCAATGCTCTCAAATCTCATTAAAGTTTACTATAGTATGATAAAGTTAAAGTAAAGATAATTTATGAATTTAACTATATTATAAATTATAATCAAACCATGAATTTGGTTATGATGTTGATAAACTAAACACAACTATCACCATGCATACGAGAAATTCTTCGGTGTGACAGTCCCACTACATAACTACGTAGTAATACTAATTCACTCATATTACAATACATATATAAACTTATTAATGTTACTCTAAGATATCACACATATTATTAATGTTATTCTTCGGTGCACGCGTTTCCGAGATTGCGAGAGGCTTTTAAAAAAAAATTAAAAATTAAAAATGTATTTTTGAATTAAAAAAGATAATGGTAGTTGTGTTTCATAAAAATAGGATCCATTATTTGATTTTTCTTTTAATTTTAATTTTTTTAAATATGAAAAAAGTGAATTTACCATATTATCCTCATTTAATTAATAATTTCAATTCTTAATGTTTGCATTAACGAAGGGTATTTTCTGGTATTTTGAATATTTCACCATTCTTTGCCTTTTATTTTATATATATAGATAACACATGAATAACACCACATGATAATGTGACTGTCACATCTAAGTATTTTTTCAGTGGAAAATGATAAACTAACCCCCATGCTGTCATCTATGCAAAGGCAAAATAAATTCCTATGCTTTACCATTTGTGCATCCACGGATACCTCTTACTGGCCTCACACAACACATGCACTCAATGCCATGTTAATGTTAGCTTAGCTAGCTTCAACCAACCGGCCATAACCAAGTCGCAAAGTTTGAAGAAAATCGTTACCGCCCCCTCTCACTCACTGGAACAGTCGCATGAGTAATTCTGGTTCTTCATCTCTAGTCTTCAGTCTTCCCCTGGGATTATAGGGACATGCACTTACGAGCACTTAGCACCATGAAACGGAAGTACAGCTGCAGCAGCAGTAGTAGTTAAAGGAACGCAACATACCTTGCTAGCTTTAGTTTGTCAAATTTGTCCAATATAATTGTTTAAACAAACAAGTTGGTCGGCATATGCACTAGTCTATAACTGGATCCAAGCCCTTCATTGTTAGTTTCTAGAATTTTAATGTCGGAATTTTTGTTTATTGTCCTCGACCTATGCGAGGGAGGGAGATGTCAAAATTCAAATAAGCATGTCTTTTATGCAAATTTTTAATTATTTATAGGAATTAAAGAGCCCGTTTGATAGGTGACGTGGAGCACGTATGGCCGTTGAGCTTTCATACATTGGCTAACCTGTTTTGATATCATGAAGGAAGTTGAGGTTTCACCCTAAAACCAATTATAAGTCCTTGATAGGTTTCTCAACTTTCTAATATAAGACTCTTTACCTTCATATTCTCACAGTCCGAACTATAAATCAAAACCGGAATGAAAACACGATAACCTTTTTGAAATAATCCATGTAGGATTTTCAATTTTCGTAGGATATATAGATTCTAATTTATATGTCCTACGAAAGTCACGAACTTTTGTCTTTTCTCTAGATGCTGGTTCCGTCTCTAAGTCTTGAGAAGACAGAAAGAAAGAAGAAAATTTTGCTTTTTGACCGAAAAATAGTTCCATTAACGGGAGACATTAACAGAGTATGAGCTGCAGAAACTGACATAGTGAATGACTCTGATTAGATGTAACAGGCATCCCACAGAATTAACCCCTATATTATTATAATTCTCAACCGGTGTAGGTTTTTGCTTTTTGGAGACAGAAGATCAAGAATCTCAATTTCCGAATGTTAATGAAATTATTAATAAAGGCATACATGAGTTTAGTCAAATTGACCAAAATGGTAGTACTTTCTACTATTTATCCGAGTTTGAATCTCCCTATCCATAATTTAAAATAGATTAAAGTAGAATATTGTCTGTATAAAAAAAACGAAAATATTGATAATGAAAAACCCCTAAACATCATCCAAGAGTAATATAAGGAAATTTAACCGAAGATTGTCAGTTTTTATAGGGCCGTTTAAGGGTTCGAGTTTCCAGGCTTGTATAACCAATGAGTTGTGAAGTGAAAAAATAAACTAAAAACACTATTTTGTATTTAGCCTTGTATATATGTGAAATGCTGCTCTATCATTCAGCGAGGGGGCAATATATGGGTAAAAAGTGATTTTGTTCAAAGCTGGTAATGAGTTATGGCATTGGTTTAAAAAAACAACTAAATATTTGTACTTAGGCATGGTATATCTGATTCTTGATATAGATAGTGTTTTCTTTTATTCTTTTACTCTTCTTTTTCTTCTGTTTTTGTCTGTTTTGGGAACAGTTTTGTGAAAGCTATAATATGGGATGGACCGTACGGTCATGGTAAAACAGGTCTTGCCATTGTGCATTGCATGGCTGCTGCTGCTGCTCCCTGTCATGGTAAAATATAATTTGGTTGTGGGAGGAAATATTTCGGCTTCCAATCACAAGGTGCTATGTGGACAAAAAGAATATCTTATAGGTCAATAATCAGGCCTATTTATTTGGGGGATTATTTAGGCCAAAATTGGGAGATATTATCATCAATTAGGGATTTGATTCTGATTGAAATCTATAATTTACTCAATCTCTCCATTTAAGGGAAAGAATATTTTCCTTCCAAATAGGAAAATATTCTTTACAAAACCCTAACACACGAGGTGATTATAAATAGATGGCTACACCAAGCATACAAGGTAATCTGAAACTCAACTGACTTGATTGTTGGGGAAGGCAAGGTAAAGTTAAGTGAACAAAGAATGAAACCAATTATCACTGTATATATGAGTGCTCGACATGAGTTCAGCAAGCCTTATTTTTTCTTTTCAATTCTATCCGGTGGCATGTTTTCTGTTTCTCCTTTTCCTTTTTATATAATATTTTCACTTCCCCCCTTTCCAGGTAATGTGTTTTGTGAAGCTCTTTAACAATTTCTACTTTGTTTATATGTTCTTGAGTGTTAGAGTTTCCATTCGGATCAACATAAGGCCTTCTTAGGTCCAGCGTGTGAAGCATGTAATGAGGGGAAAAACATTCCCCGTCGATCATCGATCCATTAATTTAAGTTCTTCTAGCATCGCCCTATAAGGGAATCACCGCAGTCAATGCAAATCAATGTCAGGGCGTTGATGAAACCCTTTAACCACCAAACGGGCCTTAGAGCACTTCCAACAACAAGGGCTGGGGGGGTGGTTTAGGCCCAAAAACAGTTTCCAACAACAAGGGCTGGCCAGGGCAATTGCTGGGGCCCACAAAACCAGGCCAGCCCTCAGGCAAGATGAGCTCGAGTTCAAGTCCGGGTACAAAAAAAACAAAATTTTCAGTTTTTCTTTTAAAAAAATAAATAAATACTTAGTCATAGTTTTCACTTCCCACACCAAACTCTATACAAATTTCTCTCCTCATATCTCATATGAATAGTTGTTGTCATGGCAATTGGTGAAAACACCACAACATTTTGCAAGGGCAGCCACCCACTATTCACGTGAATAGTGGTTGCCCTAGCCTCCCCTTTGCCATGGCAAAGAGCAAACTACTAGAAGTGCTCTTATATCGGTCAATAGCGCCATCAGGATGGCGTTTGATGGTGAATACCCATTTGCACCCAATAAGATTATGATGAGGATTTAGTGATTGATATATTATATAGAGTAATGCTACACTTACCACATTATTATCCCACATTTCTATACCACATGATGTGGCATATCCATATCATATGTCACATCAATTAAATGAATGAAGTGTATTTTAATAAATAAAATTAGAAAAACAAAAACTAGTATTTTACATGATGTGGTATATACACATCAGCTGCAACATCATGTGGTATAAAATTGTGGTATAAAAAATGTGGTAAGACTAGTATTATTCTATTATATATGAGTGACATTTCCTTGTGACTATACACTACAGTCCCTCTATAATTGTCTTGTTGATTGGTTTCTATATTAAGCACTTTTGAAAAAAGCGACATCATGAGAAGCCAATTCTGTTTGCAGGCTCACTTTCTGACTAAAAAACCATCATGGCCTCTTTTCATTTGTGCTTCTCCTACATGGTGATGATGCTCATGGTTATATCCTGCAATCTATATGGAGCACATTCTGGTACTGCAAACCCTAGCTCTGCTTTCTACATCAAGATGTATAATATATATCCATGTTAATTTTCTCTTGTTTAATTGTTGCTTTTATTAATTACTCTTTCATTAAATATTAGGGGGTTGCAAAGCCAGAGACATAAGCATCTCACAAGGGAAAATTTCAGAGACTGGGATCCCAAAGTACAGCGTACAGATTGCGAACGAGTGTTCTTTTGACTGTGCTGCTTCAGACATCCACGTCCACTGTGGTCAGTTTGCCTCTACAGAAGTTATGAACCCAGCTGAGTTCAGGAGGCTCTCTTTTGATGATTGCTTGGTGAACAACGGACAGCCTTTGAAGCCCCATCAGCTCATCAGCTTCACTTACTCCAACACCTTCATGTACCCCCTTGCTTTCAAGTCCGCAAAGTTTATTTGCTAATTATATTTTAGCCCTCGCAACTATCACATTCTACTTACGGTGATCATTTTGAGACTTAGCCACCAATAGTTTATGTTATTCTTCTCTCTCTCTCTCTCTCTCTCTCTCTCTCTCTCTCTCTCTGTGGCTTTGGCAACCAGAGCTCAAGTACAGATAAGTAGAAAACAGAATGAATGTTGACCTAAAAAAAAGCAGAATGAATGATTGGAGATACTCTTTTATTCTTTGCCTATAAATGGGGTATTGAATTTTGTACAAAGAAAAAGGGGTTTTGAAAATGCCCTTCTTCATGCTAGTTGTGATGGAACAACAAAAAGGAAACCAAATTGTTATTTTTGTAATCATTCTGTAAATAGTATTATGCAGTTCAGAAGATTTGGTGTCTGTGTTTAAATGCTTCCCCTGTGCTTACTTTATGTTTGTCTTCAACTTTATAATTTACGCTTACATGCTTACATGAGTTGTGTTGTCATTTTGCCCGTATCTGATTGGTATTGGCATATTTAACACATGGTACTTGAAAGCCACATTATTTTCCTTCAAATACAGAAACCAAAACAAGAATTGAACAAGAATTGACAAATTCCTTAAATAAATAAAAATAGGTATTTACCAGGTGGAGAGATGGGATCATGCCCCAAAAAATTTCTGCAATAGTTTCCATTCTGTCTTCTTGTATCTACCAAGGTGAAAAACAAAAATTTGAAGAGGCATTATATCAATAGACAGCCTACTTAAAGAAAGTTCCTAGCCAGAAAACAAAACAATATAGAAAAAGAGGTGACCGAGGCATAGTTTACATGATTGGCCTCATCTTCCTCTTGGATTCACTATTTGTGAAAAAACTGCACTTGTGTTTAAATCTTCTACAGTAGCCTCACTTGCAGTGCTTTCTTCCTCGATGGTCAATGTGGAATTGTGAATTGCATAAGCATCATTTGCTTTATCTTGAGCAACAACTGCTTCTCCATCAGGGTTTTCATGCAGTTGAAGTGCGAACTCGAGGTTCCAAAGCACGTCACCCATTGAAGGACGTTCAAGTCCATGATCAGCTAAGCACTTCTCAGCTGTCTCTGAAAACTTTTTCAGACACTCAGGATTTATAGGGGGTCCTGCCTTAAGATGTGGATCGACAATTTCGCTGAGAATTCCCTTTTTTCGACAATGTATAGCCCAATCTGCTAGACTAACTTGTTCCTTTGGCAATGTAGCATTAAGCGCTGGCCTTGCACACAGGACTTCAAACAGAACCACCCCAAAAGAGTACACATCAGATTTTTCTGTCAATTGTTGCCTGCGGAAATATTCAGGGTCCAAGTACCCAAAGCTCCCCTTCACCACTGTACTAACATGGGTTTGATTTTGATTAATATTAGGACCTGTTTTTGATAGCCCGAAATCAGACACTTTAGCTACCCAACTCTCGTCCAATAGAATGTTTGTGGTTTTCACATCTCTATGGATGATGGTGTACCTGGCACCAGTATGAAGATAATGTAATCCTCTAGCAGCTCCAATGCAAATTTCCAACCTTTGCTTCCATGACAAGGGAGGTTGGTTGCTCTTGTATAGGTGTTCCCTTAGAGTCCCATTAGCCATGTAATCATAAACAAGAACCATCTCGCCGTCTTCTTCGCAAAAACCAATCAAAGAGACTAAATGCTTGTGTCTAAGCTTTGAAAGCATCTCTATTTCAGTTTGGAATTCATTAACTCCTTGCTCCGAAGATGGATTCGATCTTTTTATAGCCACTTGGGTCCCTCCATCAATAATGCCTTTGTAAACCTTCCCAAACCCTCCAACCCCAATAACTTGAGATTCATCGAAGTTCTTGGTACCATGTTTTATCTCAGACAATGAAAAATGCCTACATAGACCAGCAGCCAGACTTGAAAGGTGGCTGCTACCAGTGTTGCTCTTGCCAGAAATAGTTGATGTGTGAGAGTTACCATAAAGGGGCAACCAAGCACCCATCCCAGACTCCATTCCATTCTTTCTCTTCTTCTTTATGTACACGACAAAGCACACTGCTGCAACTACAGCCGCACCGCCAGCAGCCCCACCAGCTATTCCAATTACTTCACCCTTGCTCTTGGATTCCGGCGGAGGAGAAAAATTACTAGCTGCAGCAGCCTCGGCTTCTTGAAGCATCTTCGAAGGCTCAGGATTTGGGCCTGCCAAGTTCCCACGTGTGTCATTGAGCTTAAAGATCTCCAAACCATTAAGAATTGAGTCATAATACTCAGGCTTCTCTGACACAGATGGATGCAATGCCACCCATATTTCCTCATCACCATCTCTATCATTAACAACAGTTGCATAATCTTTATAAACTGGCACTCCTATGGACCCTGCCCAAGCAATCGCATCCGCAGATTGCTGTGCTGTTCGGTTGTTGAGGAAAATATCAAACACCCTCTGATTAATCTTGGTAAGTTGAAGCTCACAAAAATGGAACCTAACAACATATGTAAAATTGGCATCAACAGAGAAAACCCATGTGAGATTGTAATTCTGATTGATTTTGGGGTCCGGTCCCATTGATCTAGCCGTGCTGTACACATTCAGAGGTGCAATATAGCCTGGCACTTCAGGAGGATATTCAATGCTAACATTTTTACCAGCCTCAGATGTGACCCCAAATGCTGCACCAAACAAGTATGGCGAATCATCGTACCATGTCCTTGTAAGCCCTGAATCATTGGTTGTAGGAATAAACTGTCCACCAACATTGAGCCTGAACATGGTCTGAAGGGAAGAGCTCTGGACCTCGACATTTTGGTCCTGGAACCCGATCAAGTTTGCAGGCTTGAACATATCAGCAGGCATTGAGATGACCTCAACCCCATTGACAAAAGCATAGGATTTATCATGCTGTGAAGAGGGTATGAATGTGATGTTGAGATTGCCAGACTGGGGAGGAATGAGTGAGAATTCTCTCATGATATAGGCCTGTGTGAGAGCTTGGGCTGTAATGGAGGCACTGAAATTGTGGAGGAGAGTAAACCCATTTGCAACCACGTCGAAATATGAGTTGGAAGGCTCGAGGCTGTTATAGGAAGTTGGATAAAAATGGAGCCTGACCAAAAGGCGTTGCTTGGGTGAAACAGAGAACTTGTACGACGATGCAGAGTTGAAAATTCTTGCAGACATGTATGGAACTTGAGAAGGCAGAGAAGGGTCTTGGTATTGGGCCGTTGCCGTGTTCGATTTATCGGAGGACGTAAGAAACTGGGAATCTGAGGCCCATTTGCGGCCATCGGAATCGGTGCCTCCACTTGAAGAGCCACAAGAAATGACGTAAGAATCAGAGTCTTTGCCATGAACATGAACGGTGTTTAATGAGAAAGATAACAAGATCAGAGAAAATAAGATATGGGTTTTGGAGATCATTGCTGAAAAGAGAAACCCTTTTGATGGAGAATTCAAGAGCTGAAAGGTTAAGGAAGAACAAGATCAATATATATGTATGGTACAGGGGAAAACATAGTACAGGAGAACAAGAACAATGAGAGAATGTTTTCCTGTACTTTCCTGATGTTCAATTACAATAACTGTATTAAATCCAGATGGGTTCTTCTGGTTTTCATGAAAAGTAAAGATTACAAATTTACCTGGGAATTTCAGGATGCTATGCAAGAATTACAAATCAACATGTGTTTTTGCTTTCATTTTTCTCTGTTGTTTTTTTTTGTTTTTTTGGGTCCAGGGTCTAGGGAACGTTACGATAGGAGGTAGTTACTGGTTAGAGAGTAATTGGGTTAGAGAGAGAAACGGTAAATGGTGTTTGGCATTGACTGCCTTGGCGTTTCTTTAGGTTTGATTTTGAGTGGTGATTCATTCACCGAGTGGATTGATGAATGAATCCGAATTATACTTTGGTTTTGTTTGTGATATGTATGCTTGCACTGCATGGGTCAATTGAAATCCCAATCACAAGGCATAATATCCGTCGCGCATTTTTTTTTTATATAGAAATTATGAAATTGCATTTATAATATAGCAAAAAAAGTCACTAACCATAAATGGCGAATACAAACTAGCCACAAAGGGTCATTATAATAATGAAACGGTCTAACATCAAAATTAAGACAATCTAAGGCTTCTGCACGCAAAATCATATCCATGACACACTAAATTCGTCTTTTTGGTAATTTTATAAGAAGCTAAGTATAATCCTTCTCTACACAAAAGAAAAAAACATGTATAATCCTTTTTTTCTTTTTTTTAATTAAGATCATATTCAAAATCAGATCATTTGGAGACCTATTGGATTTGGCGCCATTGTCTAAGTTTCTACACATATACAATATTCATAAATAAATAACTATATAAGACAACTTATATATTATACTAATTCATATTTATAATCCCTATTTGATTTGTTAAGGCACTTTATATCACATTAATTACATAGAACTTAGGTCAGATCTTGATAAAATTGTGTAAGGTAATAGCTCATCTTGGCATTATAATTATATATAAATTATAACAAAATATGATTACATAAGGTTCACCACTATAATAGTGCAAGAATAATGTTTAACAATGTATAAAAATGATTACTGTAAATCATTTTTTCTTACATAGGGGTGTAGATGAGTCGAGTCAAACCGAATATCAAGGTTCACAAGCTTAGCTCGAATGATTTTTTTCGAACTATGAGATTTTGAAATACACTTTTTTTTGTCACACACACACATAGAATGTTGCATAGAGTATTAGAAACATCATAAAAGGGCTTTTCTCATAAGAATGGAAGCTAATGCCCATACTCCCATGCAGTCCACTTTTAAGTGATTGTGCTGCCTTTTTTCTTCGGTTGTTTTTATTATTTCTTGTTAACAAGTAATGTAATTGGTACTCAAAGTACCTCACAATCAAAAACTAATTAAGGAAAAACACAATTACAAGTACTCGAACTTTTTGTGTCTTTTAAAGGGTTGCAATATTGTTATTAAGATAGAAACAAAGGATGATGATGCTTGTTTCAATATATAGTTCTTTGTCACCAAAAAAAATAAATTATGGTGCAAATGAAAGAGATTTTACTATCATAGTCGACTATTGTATGCTTGTTTTTTACATGTAATGTAGCCGATAAATTGCATTAAAAAAAAGTATCACACTTATATACTTTGAAACCCTGGAAATTTGGAATCAAAATAGTTGAAGTTAAGTATATGAATCAAAAGGGGATCCATTTCCAGAAAATCCCCCAACATCAAGGTCTAGAGTAAGTTTGGCATAAAACTCCTGGCTGCAGCGTCAGCGTTAAGAAGCATCTTTGAGGGCACAATATTTGGACCTGCAAAGTTCCCATGGGTGTCATTGACCTTAAAGATCTCCAGTCCATTAAGAATTGCATCATAATACTGAGGATGCTGCTCCCGGTTTGGATGCATGGCCACCCAAAGTACCTCATCTCCCTCTTTATCATTAACATGAGTTGCATAATCCTTATAAATTGGGGTCCCTATGGACCCCGCCCACTGAATCACATCTGCAGTGTCCTCTGCTGTTTGGTTGTTGAGAAAAATTTCGAACGATCTCTCATTGGCCTTGGTGCTTTGGAGCTCACAGAAATGGAACCTAACCAGATATGTAAAATTTGCATCAACCTGGAAAACCCAAGTGAGGTTATATTTCTCATTGACTTTCGGATCGGGCCCCATGGATCTTGCTGTCCTGTACACACTGAGAGGTGCAACAAATTCTGGCACATCAGAAGTGTGTTGAACTGTGACATTATTGTCAGCCTCAATTGCAACACCAAGAAAGACCCCATCGAAAAATGAGGCCCCGAAAGCTGCGTTTAACAAGTAGGGTGAGTCATCTAGCCAAGTCCTGGCCAGCCCTGAGTCGTTTATTGGTGGAATGTAGCCTCCGCCGACATTGAGCCTGTGCATGGTCTGGAGCGAAGAGCCTTGGATGTCGATTGATTGGCCCTTGAACCCGATCAAGTCTGCGGCCTTGAACGTGTCCTCCATGGGGATTATCTCGATGGAATTGACGAAAGCGAAGAAATTTTCGTGTTTCGAAGAAGGTGTGAATGTGATGGTAAGAGAGCCGGATGGTACAGGGACGAGCGAGTACTCTCTTATGATGTAGGCCTGCGTGAGAGCCAGGGCTGTGATGAAAGGACTGAAATGGCGGAGCAGAGTGAGGCCATTCGCCTTTACGTCGAAAACTGCTTTGGTGTTTTCCAAAGACCCGTAAACAGATGGGTAAAACTGGAATCTCAAGAGAAGGCGCTGACTGGATGAAACAGAGAACTTGTATGATGTTGCAGAGTTGATGATTCTTGTTGTCATGTATGGGACTTTGGAAGGCAGAGCTGGGTCTTGGTAGTCCGTTGTTGCACTCTTCGTGTTGTCGGAGGAGGTGAGAAACTTTGAATCCGAGGCCCATTTGCGGCCATACGAATCAGTTTCGCCATCCGGGGAAGAGCCACAAGAGATGAATTGGGACTCGGAGGCTGAGGCTGGGGCTGAGGCTGGGGCTGTGGTTGGGGCTGGGGCTTCGCAGAGAACATGAATGGCGTTTAATGAGAAAGAGGAAAGCAAAATCAGAGAAAACAAGATTTGGGTTTTGGAGATCATAGCTGAATGGAGCAACCCTTTACAGATGGAGAGATTTCAACAACTGAGATGTCAGGGGAGGACAAGGCCAATTGTTGTCACAGGGGAAAAGCAGAGTACAGGAAAACTGGGAAACATTCCTGTACAAGAATTCAATTGCAATGGCTCTATCAAATCAAACTTTGTTTTGGTTTAAATTGAAGAAAAGATTACAAATTTACCTGAGAATTGAAGGAAGTGATGCAAGAATTAGAATTCCAACTGTGTTTTGCTTTCATTTCTCTGTAATTTTGTTTTGTTTTTCCTTTGAATTTTTGTGTCCTTTTCCGGTCCAGGGTGGAGGGTCGTTAGGACAGGAGGTCGTTATGTGGTTGGAGAGCAACGGTAAGAGAGAGGCGCTTAATTCTCTATGGCCTTGACCGAGTCGAGGAATGATCCCAAATTATCTTTTGGGTTGTAGATGTTTTGCATTGCATGGGTCTATACAATACATCTATTCCTTTTACCTTTAGTACTTTCTATTAACTTTATATATATTTATATATATATATATATGTCGATTTTAATATAACATATTATACAAAAATTTATATAGAATCTATTTGAAGAGAAAACCCCAAAATTAGCAAACACTAAATCAAAATGGAGCCTTCATCAATATTAACTTTTAACACGTGAATTAATAATATTACGTGAGAGTGAAGTTTCCATCCCTTTTTTTATTTTTTTGTGTTTTAATAATAAACAATACTTCTTTAATGCATCTACTGAGGTAGGCACTGCCTTCATTTACCTGAAGAAAGATAAAAAGCAACACTGCTTTGCCAGTGAGCTTCTAAATAATACGTGAAAAACACGTCTTATGTATAGCTTTTTAATTATTCTAGTAAGTATATAAAAATTTGGGAATTGGAACAATATTGAAGATTTAAGACCGACCACCCCCCCACCCTATTAAAAAGGAAAAGCCGTTATCAACATTTCAATGTGAGCTGGTGGACGACGATGAGCAGCCATGGATTTCTTCATATGGCTTCGGACCATCCATCACAAAGCTTCCTGATCCTTAGCATGACTCTATAACATACATGTGTCTAGTAGATTATACCAAAGGCACAAAAATTTGTTTAAACGTTTGAGAACAAATTAAGTCATAAGTTTCTAGTTTGAATTTATGAGGAGGGAGGAGAGAGAAAATGGGTTAGTTCAAGGCATATTAATCAATCATATATAGTTGAGATGATATTGATTTCTTTTCGAATGCAATCTCAACCATTAAAAGTTTAAAACTGCTTTAATATCATGTGAACCATTTACCCACGTATCAGATAACCCTAAACTCTAAAGAAGAGATACTACACTTGATCTTAGCCAAAAGGCCAAGAAAGGTATGCTTATTATTGTCTTGGGCTGATTCTTTTATACGCACACCTTTATTCATTTCCTTTCTTCAACTTGTCGATGTGGGATTGCGAACACACTCTCTTGAATCCCACCAAAAATAATTGTGGGCAGCCAAAGGCAAGTAGTTAGAGCACTTCCATTGGTTACCTTTTGGTCTGGCAAAAGGCAGCCCAGTCTTGAATTAATGCCCACAACAACAAAGGTTTGACTAGGTAAGAATGGGCCATATTTACCCACCAAAGATATTTCACATGTCCAACTTGCGCCTCTATAGATCCGCAAGTGAATGGGTGGGAAAGCAAAATTAAAAAGGGTAGGTGAATGATATTTTTGTCCTTACTTGCCATTGCCTTTTGTCATGGCACAATGGGTGGAAATGCATTAGGTAGGCACATATATATCATGTTCCCAAAACAACATCAGTTCATGTGTTTGTACTTAAAGGTTTCGTATACAAACTCATTGAAAACCAACAATGTTTCAACAATAAGTAACTAGAATTAAAGTGTCTAAATGTGAGGAGATGGTGTACTTTAAAATTCAACTTTGTAAATTGAGAATTTGTTTGTTTGGTGAGTGTGTTAGTTTTTACCAACTCTCTGAGTATGTTATAAAAAAATACTATTGACATGCCCTTGCCAATTATGAACATCAAATTTTCAAAGAGAAAATTTCTACACATAAAGAGTTCTCAACACTAGCATATCATC